TTTTTTTTTTAATTTTTTTTTTATAAAATTTACTGCGTGTTAATTTTCAAACCAATACGATAATCAATTGTTAAGGGAAAAAAGAGCAGAAAGCCCCGGGTATTTGTGTTTTTTGCGGACTCGGATTCACAAACCAGAGCTCGTTTTGATGTCCACTTTGCGTTTTTCGGGTAACTAAGGCTCGCTGATCGTGCGAGCCAGACAAAAACCCGAACGCGGAGTGTACAGAATACACCAAATGGCCAGGGCGAGGAGGGCGAAAAACCAAAGCACAAAGCAAGAGACGAAAAAAAAAAAGTGACCGTCGTGGCCGACGCATTGAAATTAAAAATTTTAATAAGCCAGAGGGGAATAATCATCAAGCCCGATTACTCGGAAGATCCCTCTTTCGTTCGCGGAATCTCGTCTCTCTCTCTCCCTCCGCCGCTCTGCTGGCGTGGGCCACTTTTTCTTTTTCGTCAACCGTACTTTTTTTTTGCTGCCATACCTGCTTAAGGCACAACGTGATGAATTTTGACATTTCAGATGTGTACTTATGCGTATACTCAGCTGTACGCGTGTCGGTTGTATAATCACCGGTTTGATCGATTCCAGCTGTATTGTGGGGGACTCGCGTCGCGTGGGCTTTTTTTTTTTCGTCATTACTGTGCTTTGCTTTCAATGCCTCGTCACGTCTTACTTTGCGTCGTGAAAGCTCGTTTAACGAGTATCGGGAGGTATGTGACCGTATGTGACTGTACTCTCGCAACTCGATCAAAATTATTGGATTTGCTTGTGTTCCCCTAAAAATTCATGAATTTTTTAATCAGCCTGTTTTTCTTGATTTAAAAAAAAATGAAAGAAAGAAAATCAGATGTCACGCCTTTTTTTACAGTTGGCGCGTGTTCAAGTTTAAAAATTTGATTGTTCCTTAATAAATATTTATATACTCGACGTACACACATATATAAAATCTCTAAACCAATCACTTTGGACATTCATTCGAAATGAATGATAAAAATAATTACACACACGCGTACCTACTAATCTGTCCAAACAAACATTATATCAGTTGTTGAATTACAGCGACTCATTGCTCGAAGGTACTTTGTCTTTGTCAAATGTATAGTTTTCACTGCTAATTGTATAAAATGTTCTATTAATTTAAGTGTTCAAATAACCCAATGTACTTTGCACGACTTTGCACGTGTCTAAATATTTTAATTACTTACAACAACCCTGTGTCAATCTATGACGCACTCACCTACCTCTTGGGTATTTCCTAGAAAAAAAAAAAAAAAAAGATAAAAAAAATCCAATCCACGTGTATATACGAAACCACGCAACGCGTCCCCTTCGCGTGCATCCAACAATTTCCGCGTGTCTTACCACGCGCACACAAACAGCTCGGAACAATTTGAAAATAGATCTCAGAAGCGATCTCGTCTCGGTGCAGTGCATACAGCGAAAAAAAAAAAAAAAAAAAAAAAAAAAAAAGCGAGAGCTCGTCCTCTTCTCTCTCCCTCGCGTAAACATGACGGTGGTGTGTACGGATGAATGAGAGTGCACACGTGCCACCTCGGCTGATTTAAACCGACTGCACTCGGGGGCATACCTCTCCTTCTGTACTTCCGCTCTTGTTCTGCTCGCTTTTCGCGCGTTTCTCGGCTTTTTTCGACACCCTCCCCACTCTTTTCAATTTTAGACCCATCCGGTAGACCCTCTGATTTTTTTCTAAAACAAGGCCTATCTGTCGTCCTTGTTGCTTTCGTCCTTTCTAGCTATCGTATTAAGGGCAAAAAAAAGTTTTTATACTTCCACCCCCTTTTTTTAACCCTTGATACAACGAAATCGTTGTAACAGTGAAATAAATAATTATCATAGCCACTTTAGGGTACCTACTATGTATATATAAATATTCGTATACAACAAAAGCAGCACTTTTACTTCTATCTCTCGCTAAGTAAGTACGAGGGTGTGGGTATTTAGCGCTGTAAGGAGGAGAACAAGTAACTCGCCGACCGGTAGCTAATATTAGACGAACCGAGCCGGTGGCGGTGGTAGCACGACGGTCATTCAGCGTTGCAGCCCAGAATGAGTTGCGTTGCCAGTGATTATGATAGTGGTGGTGGTGGTACTTGTATATTACGCTGTGTGTGAGGATACATGTGCGCTCGTGCAAGTGTGAGGAGGTTACTGGAAGGGAAGGGAAACGCTAAATGGGTCGTCGATTTTATTATCGTGCCTGTTGGCACGCCCGTCTGCCACTGATGCTGCTATACTTGTACCATTTACCGAACGTTTGCTACAATGTCGCTGATTTTTTTTTTTTTTTTTTCCTCGGTGTACTGTAAGGGAGACTCAATGGAGATCAACCTTTTTTGGTTGATTCGTTTAGCAGCGTAGAAAAGTTTAGTAATTCTGAGGCCATTCAACCACTTGAAATTAGGATTGTGTTGTTGCTGAGGAGCAGTGTGTTAAAAGTCAAACGAAAAAAACTAGCATGAAAATAATATATATATTCCATCGATTGTTGTGAAAAAACCCTAAAACCCTAAAAGGTCTTAGATTGAGTTGGGGTTATTGGTTTGTTTTTGTTTCTTTGTTGACAGAAGATGAGCTGAGCGAGGTGAACGAGCACCAGGCGATCAACGGCAAGAGCCAAAAGCCCTTGCATTCGCCATTGTTTACGTCGTCGGAGTTGGTCGCCGGCCCGGAAGTTAGCCCGACGATCGCCAACTCGCCAAGCCAGGAATCGACGAATCCGACGAATCTCGTCTCGTCGGCGGATATTCACCGGTACCATGAGCACCAGCAACACGAGGGCGTCATCACAAGCAGTCACTTTATCGACAGCCAGCACAATTCCAACTCCATTCACAGCCTATCGTCCGGCAGTGGAAACGCGGATAATGGCCCCTCGGAGGAGAAAAAGTCACGCAGCAGCAACGGGTACGTTTATTTTTTTATTTTTTTTCCTTTCTTTTTCTTTAATAAGTATTATTTATTAGTAAGTTTTTTAAAAGCCGACTGTCGGTTCACTATTTTTTTTTGTTCAATTCGCTTCATGGCGGCAGTCTGACCATATTTCGGATTTTTCTACTTGCGTTGGATTCCTTACAACCTTCGCATTTTTTTCTCCCGGATCTAAGGGTCTTGTGATGGAAAAAAAATATATTAAATAGCTTTATCATTCGTGCAATGTTGATGAAAATCCCTTTGCTACTTCCATTCACTTAGAAATTACATCGTAGTAAGTTTTTTTTCTTTTTCCGTATATATCATTCCTGAAACGCGATAATCCAAGCCTAACGTAGACGTTTTAAGACAAAAAAAACGAACATATGATTATAAGTAAATAAATAAATAAATTGTGCATGTCGTACAGAGTTGCGGGCGGTTTTCGCACGGGCACGAGGGAGGTACACAACAAGCTCGAGAAGAACAGGCGGGCGCACCTGAAGGAGTGTTTCGACAGGCTGAAGGCGACGATACCCGGAATGACCAACAGAAAGACATCGAATCTTAACGTACTTAAGGAGGCCGTCACGTATACCAAGGTAAGTGACTGAATATTCATTCAACAAAAGTCTTATATATTCTCCACACTCCATATACGATGTATATATGTACCGAGCAGAGAACGTTTCCTTCTCTCTCGATATGTGGTCCCATCATCTCCCCTGCGTATGCAATACGTTTGGTTCACTACACGCACGTACCAACATAATATTAGTGCCAACCGGATGTTTGTATTTTGTCCACGTGATACCCTATAGTAAAACAATATACCTGCGTTCATCCCATCATGAATGCGTGTGCGAAAAATTTCACACCCACATAAGCAACCTTTCGCTCCAATCAGAAATTCCGCAGGAGGCGTCATCGCCGTCTACTCGCATTATAACACGTGCATGGCTGCTCGTGCCAGCGGCGGCGGCCGACCCCGCTCGGTACCCTGACCTTTCAAGCTTTCTCTCCTCCTCCGACTCTGCTCGCGTGTATGTCCGTCTGTCGGTTCGGCGTCCACGTGTGCGCGCACGCGCAGCCGAGCCTTCTCTCCCCGGCCCGGCTTGTTTTTTTTTCTCTGCCAATCTTACCCCTTCCCCGGGCTCGAGCTCCTTCCCTCTCTCGCTACCTCGTGGTTTGTGCGATTCCACATGTGGCTCTGCGCTCGAACCGACTGTTACTCGTCGGAGGGGGAAAGTCAACCTGTGTATGTGTACGCGAACGCGCTTGCAGACGAACGTCGGGGTGTATATAATATCTGGGTCTTTGTTTGCCTCTCTCCGGTGCGCCTTTGCCGGCCGATGGCTGTTTTTTTTTTTTCTCTCTCTTCACTACACTCGTCGTTATCTGTCGCGCCAAACGAGATTTATACTTGTGCTTTTCCCTTTTTTCGCTCGAGTTGTCTGTATGGATTTGCGTATCCGTGAATTTCGTCATTTTGCAGCTAATAACCCCCCCTAGTCCGAAGGGAAACAAAAAAAACGACAAGACCCTGTATATGTTATCGCCCACCGACGCCGAGCTGCACGTCTGTTCGTTATTATTACGTAATTCTTTTTTTTTTTTTTTTTTTTTTTTCATACGACTCGCAGCCAGTAAACTTTCGTTAAACGCTGTACACACATGCATACAAGGGTCGGAATTGATTCGTCCTTGCACAAGGCGACCGGCGTTTATTACCACGATGAAATTTACACCCGCTATTGTTCTCCGTATCAATAGGATTATTTAATCTGTGCAGTGATTACTGTGTGGAAGCCTCTCTATTGCCGACGATTCTTATATCGCATGTGGTACAATTAAGTAGTAACAGTCAATGGCAGTGGTACCAGTAGTAACAGACAATTGCCGATAAGACACTTTATCGCACGCATTATATACATACCGCAGTGGCTTTCGACGACGATATACACACCCTGTTCGTGCCTTTACGTATATTATACATTATCAGCGAGCTCAACCGAATTTTACATAATGCTCGTCCGATGTAATATTATATTATAATTATAATGGTAAAGTGCGACGAGTATAGGTTCGCACGCGAATCTCATGACAAATGGTGATTGTTCCTGGACTAAATACACCTATTTTGAAAAAAAAAAAAAAAAAAAAAAAAAAAAA